TCTAGTGAGTGCTCCCTTCTCATTTGGTGGCCAAAGTATTTGAGCTTCATTTTCATTATCTGGCCTTCCAGGGAACAGTCAGGGTTGATTTCTTTTAGGATTGACTGATTTGTTCTTCTTGCAGTCCAAGGGACTCTCAAGAGTCTTCTCCAGCACCATAGTTCAAAAGAATCTATTCTTCGGCGCTCGGCCTTCCTTATAGTCCAACTCTCACAGCCATACATGACTACTGGGAATACCATTGCTTTGACCATGCGGACTTTTGTTGGCAGGGTGATGTCTCTACTTTTTATCATGCTGTTTAGGTTCGCCATCGCTTTCCTCCCAAGGAGCAGGCGTCTTTTACTTTCATGCTCATACCCCCCCCTGAAATCTTGTTGGTCTGGACTCAAATCTAGCATTTCTACTGCAGAGCAATACGGCTGCCCTCTGAAACTATCTTCACGGAATTCTCAGAATGTTGCACTTCAGATTTTGTGCATTCACCAAGAACATGGGCTATAGATACATGGCATATCAAGCATATCTACATCCCACTGACTTGTAATAGAGTGTTGGTGTCATCTGAGACTTTTAACAGAAAAATGAGCATCAGGAGGAAGATAGTAAAAGAAGAAGAGGTGGATTTGTACCCTGCCCTTCACTCGGAGTCTCAGTAACCAAAACACTAAAATGTGGGTCTCTAGAGCTTCCCCCCGCCCCCTTCTGTGTTTTTCAAGACCTGTCATGGATGCTGCAGAAGATAATGGGGAGGGGGCGCTTCCAAGCAGAGTAAAGAAGATGCTTGAGGGTTTAGCAGTAGGAGCTGGTCTTAAAAAAACACCACCTAGTGAGTAGCGAACGGGTCATTTCGTAGAAAAAGAGGTGCAGGAGCTCATTAGCATAACTTATTTGCATATGCCACACCCCCTGACATCACCGGAAGTGTGTCAGAAGGCAACACCCACCGCTCAGGCTCCACGGGACTCTTTTGGATTGTTAGCTATTGGGGGGAGGGAGCGTGCAGATCTGCCCTCACAGAGGAGGAAGAGCTTGTACCTAAATAAAACTTGGTCTGAAAGGTGCCACTGGACTGTTTTGCACCAGGGGGCCAGGGGGGGCCCTCTGAAATTTACCTGGATGCTTCTTGCTCTTTGTGGCCTGGGCTGCTGGGAGCAGGGGGTGGGGCATGTTGCATGTGCCCGTCCCTTGGGCTCTTTACTGCCGGAGCTCTGCTCCTGTGCGCTCCTGCAGGAAATGACCCCTGGTAGCGAACCCAGGAAGTTGATTTCCAGGGGAAGAACTGACTAGGTATGAAACATGTTACAAATGGAGTCACTGATCTCACGCAGGAGGGAGTTTATAAATACCTTGGCTAGACTCTGCCTGTGAACAGCTCTGGTGCAGCAGGTGGGCCTGAATGCTCAACTGATAGTCTATCACAGAGGCAGCAGTGGTGGCACAGCAACATTCTGTGGGGCAGAGGAACGGGAGGGAGAAAAGGCACACCGTTAGAGGCCCCGAAACTAGTTATACGGCTGGGGTGGTTGGTTGAGTTGAAACGCATTTCATCAGAGTGTAATTATTTGCGAGGCTCTCTTGAAGAGCTGAGCATCCAATAGGGATCCATTCTTAACAGGCATTTTGGAAGAGCTTGGCAGGCTGAGGAATAATATACCATGCCAAAAAAAAAATCCATGGGGGAAAGTCACTAAGCCTATACAACAGGGGTCCCCAACCTTTTTGAGCCTGCAGGCACCCTAGGAATTCTGGCTTGGTGTGGTGGGCGCAACCACAACACGGCTGCTGCAGGAGGCGGAGCCAGCCACAAAATGGCTGCCACGGGAGGCGGCACACAGTGAAGATCCTTGTGCTGTGGTGGCAGCTGCTGCCAAAGCAACATTTTTTTTAAAAAAATTGCCAGCTGCCAATCAGAAGCCTTGCTGGGCAAAAGCCCCACCCATTTTCTGAAAACACCTGGTGGACACCAGGAAAGGTGCTGGTGGGCACCTCATCGGGGGGGGGGGCGCTTTACGATGTCAAGTGGGGTAAAGTAAAGGTAAAGGTTTCCCTTGCTCAAAAGCCAGTCGAATCCGACTCTAGGGTTGCGGTGCTCATCTCCGTTTCAAAGCCGAAGAGCCAGTGCTGTCCGAAGACGTTTCTGTGGTCACGTGGCCAGCATGACTAAACACCAAGGCGCACGGAACGCTGTTACCTTTCCACCGAAGTGGTACCTATTTATCTACTTGCAATTTCTTGCTTTCGAACGGCTAGGTTGGCAGGAGCTGGAACTAGAGACGGGAGCTCACTCCGTCATGCGACACACTCGGGTCTCGAACTGCTGAACCACAGACCCTCCACAGCCTGCAGTTCAGCGTCTTAGCCACTTGAGCCACCGCAGCTCCTCAAGTGGGGTAAGGCAATGAGAAAAGGATTCAGATGACTGCTTACTGATGGGCTCGTCGTTGCCTGCTCCATCTCCGTTCCATCTGAAGTACAGGGGTTAGGTGTATTGGACTAGGATGCGGGAGAACCCAGCTTGAATCCCCGCTCTGCCATGGAAGTTTTGCAGGGTGACCTTGCGCCCTTCACACACTCCCAGCCTGCCCTACCTCATAGGGATGTTGTTGTGAGGATAGGGTGGAGGCGGGGAGAACAACGTGATTCGGCTTTGGGTTCCCGTCGGGGAGAAAAGAAGGGTTACAAAAAAAAAAATTCAAAACAAAACATGCCCATTAAAGGGAGCTTTAGCTTTGGGATTATTTCCCTGCCGGGGCGCCAGTGTTTTTAAGGGTCCCCCCGCTCCCTTCCTCCTTACCAGCAGCAACAATGCCATTGTCGGCATGTGAGAGGGACTGGGGCCTGCTGCGCAGCTTGCTTTTGAAAGATTTGGGCCGGCGTGGAGAAGACAGGTGCAGGGAGACTTCGGACGATTCTGACCTGCTGTCCTTGATGGACCGGAGCCGCTCATACAATTCCTGTAACTCCCTGTTTTGCTGAGCCTGAAGGCTCACCACCTCCTGGATATGCCTGCAAAGGAAAGGAGAAAATGCTGCCTTAGTCTCCTGACTTACGGCTGTCCTGCCGTATGCGTGCTATCGGGACCAGACAGCGTAGCATTCAGACAAGCAGGACGTAATTCAACCTGGTGACAAAAATCTTGATTTTAACATAGTATTTCACAGGGCTCTTTTTGTAGAAAAAGCCCAGCAGGAACTCATTAGCACAATAGGCCACACCCAACAGCAGAAACTCTGTCTGAAGCCGCTTCTGATGAAATAACAACACCGTTTCAACAATAAAATTAGATTACAAAATTAAAATAGTCAATTAAAAACGGCAGGTAAAAGGCAACATAGAATAGGTTGCAGTGTATTAAAAATTGTAAATACATTGGCAGGGAAAAATAATTCCTGCCTAAAGAACATAAGAACATAAGAGAAGCCAATGTTGGGTCAGGTCAATGGCCCATCCAGTCCAACACTCTGTCACACAGTGGCCAAAAATACCAGTGCCATCAGGAAGTCCAGCAGTGGGGCCAGAACACTAGAAGCCCTCCCACTGTTGACCCCCCCCCCAACCACCAAGAAGACAGAGCATCACTTGCCCCAGACCGAGAGTTCCTATCTATACCTTGTGGCTAATAGCTACTGATGGACCTCTGCTCCATATGCTTATCTAATTCCCACTTGAAGCCATCCATGCTTGTAGCCACCACCACTTCCTGTGGCAGTGAATTCCATGTGTTAATCACTCTTTGGGTGAAGAAGGACTTCCTTTTATCCATTCTAACCCAACTGCTCAGCAATTTCATTGAGTACTTGTATTGTGAGAAAGGGAGAAAAGTACTTATTTCTCTACCTGCTCTATCCCATGCATAATCTTATAAGCTTCGATCATGTCACCCCTCAGCCGTCATTTCTCCAAGCTAAAGAGCCCCAAGCGTTTTAACCTTTCTTCACAGGGAAAGTGTTCCAACCCTTTTATCATTCTAGTTGCCCTTTTCTGCACTTTTTCCAATGCTATAATATCCTTTTTGAGGTATGGTGATCAGAACTGTACACAGTACTCCAAATGAGGTCGCACCATTGATTTATACAGGGGAATTATGATACTGGCTGATTTGTTTTCAGTTCCCTTCCTAATGATCCCCAGCATAGCGTTGGCCTTTTTTATTGCAGTCGCACATTTTCATTGAGTTATCTACTACAATTCCAAGATCTCTCTCTTGGTCAGTGTCCGCCAGTTCGGACCCCATCAATGTGTATTTATATTCAGGATTTTTTGCTCCAATGTGCATCGCTTTGCACTTGGCCACATTGAACCCCATTTGCCACATTGATGCCCACTCGCCCATCCTCGACAGATCCCTTTGGAGTGCCTCACAATCCTCCCTAGTTCTCACCACCCTGAACAACTTCGTGTCATCTGCAAATTTAGCCACTTCACTGCTTAAAGAACCTTTTCAACAAGAACTCCAGATGACACGAAGCTGGGTGGGATTGCTAATTCTGAAGAAGAAAGAGTCAGGATTCAAAATGATCTAGATAGGCTGAAACAGTGGGCTGAGACAAATAAAATGAATTTCAATAGAGATAAGTGCAAAATCCTACACTTAGGTATAAAAAATCAAAGGCTCAGATATAGAATGGGACCCTCTGTCAAGCCGACAGCAGCTCATGTGAAAGGGATCTAGGTGTTCTGGTTGATCACAAGCTAAACATGAGCCTGCAGTGCAATGTGACTGTGAAGAAAGCTAATGCAATCTTAGGATGCATTCACAGAAGCATTGTGTCCAGATCACGGGAGGTAGTAGTTTCCGCTCTATTCTGCTATGGTCAGGCCTTACCTGGAGTACTGTGTCCAGTTTGGGCACCACATTTTAGGAAGGATGTTGACAAGCTCGAGCGTGTACAGAAGAGGGCAACCAGGATGGTGAGAGGGTTGGAATCCAAGTCTTAGGAGGAAAGGCTGAAAGAATTGGGTATGTTTAGCCTGGTAAAGAGAAGGCGTAGAGGGGACATGATTGCAGTCTTCAAATATTTGAAGGGCTGTCATGTAGAAGATGGAGCAGATCTATTCTCTCTTGCTTCAGATTGCAAGACTAGATCTAATGGGTGGAAATTACAAGGGAGTCGATACCGGCTAAATATCAGGAGAAACTTCCTGACTGTAATAGTGGCTGAGCAGTAGAACAGACTGCCTCGGGAGGTGGTGGATGCTCCTTTGCTGGATGTTTTCAAGCGGAGGCTGGACAACCATCTTTCGGGTATGTTGTGGGGCTGTCTTTCGGCTGTGCTCCTGCAAAGTGCAGGGGGCTGGACCAGATGACCTGCAAGGTCCCTTCCAACTCTAAAATTCTATGATTCTAACTCCAGCAACATACCGGAAGAAAGAACAGGTGAATTAAATGACATCATTTGGTGACCAAAAGACAGCCAAATACCAGACAAATGTCTTTGGGGAAGGCCATTCCAGAGCTGATGAAAAACCGTCTCCAACAGCCACCCACCTTACTTCAGAGATGGGGCTCTTAATTGGAAGACAAGTTGATATGGGAAAAGGTGGTCCTTCGGTGTTTAGTTCTTGTGGCCCTTTCTTACACGCTCAGGGGAATGCTAATTGCCACTTTGGGGTCAGGAAGCAATTTTTCTCCAGGCCAGTTTGGCCGGGGATCCTGGAGGGTTTTTTTGTCATCTTCTGGGCATGGAACAGGGGTCACCAGTGTGTGTGTGTGTGGGGGGGACATTTGTGAATTTCCTGCATTGTGGTCTCTTCCAACTCTATGATTCTATGATTCTAAGTCCTATGGTCCCAGGAAGCGTGAGGCTTCAAGGGTCAGAACCAGCACTCTGAATTGTGCCTGGAAATGAATCAGCAACCAAAGTAGTTCTTTTAAGACTGGCGGGATACATTCTTCGTAACTCTTGCCACTCAATAACCAAACTGTTGTCAGGTTCATTGTGCACAGAAATGCATGGCTTTATACATATAAAGTACCTCGGAGTGAATAATAGGTAACTGTTAGTAATTATAAAATGCCATAGGGGAACCAGGATCCACGGGGAAGCAGAAGTCCCTGCCTAACCCAGCTGTCTTTGGATGGAGTCCCAACCCAGAAAGATCACACTTTGACCATCAGTGCCATGGAGTGGAAGAGGAATCCTGCTGCGCCCCACCCTCTGTCCACACGAGAGTCACCCGCTAGCTTTGAACTATTGAGAGAAATCAGCTTTGAGCTATTAGAAAAACCAGCCACGGAACTCGATTTTTAGTGCTTGAAACACAAGCCCTTACTTCTCCCGCAAACGCTGCAGCTCCACCTTCAGGTCCTCGTCTTCGATCTCAGACTCGTCGTCACTGCTCATCGGGGACGATGGAGAATAAAAGAGTGAGCTGCGCCTCTTGCCGTGGGTGCCGCTCCGCTCATCTTGCGATCGCTGGCTTCGCTCCCAGCCCTCCAGGCTGCCGCCCATGGGGGCGGACAGTTCGCTGTCAGAGCTCGGCTGCTTCCGCACAAAACCTCCTTTGGTCCACGGCTCGGAGCACGACTGCATGCTGCTGCCGGTGGCCATGGTCTCCTCCGGCTCCCGCTGCTCAGGGGAGGTGGAAGAGGCATCTGTTTCCCCCGTGGCTTCCGTGGCCATTTCTCCCTCTTTAGGAACAACTTCTCCTGCCCCAGCTTCTGAGAAAGGAGGGTCAGTTTCTGAGCCGCCAGAAACTATTTGCTGGGGCACTGTAATGACCTGCGGCGCGAACAGAGAAAGAGAAAAAAAGGGGAGACTGTTGAAATTGGCAGATTTCTTTTTCCCAGAAAGGTGGTCTGCACAGTGGAGAACTGGGCTGATTCCTAAGGCTGCAATTACATTACACCCACCTAAGAGCCAGTTTGGTGTAGCGGTTAAGTGCCCGGACTCTAATCTGGGAGAACCAGGTTTGATTCCCCACTCCTCCACTTGCACCTGGCTGGATGACCTTGGGCAAGCCGTAGTTCTGACAAGAGCTGTCCTTGAAAAAGAGTCCAGGGTCATGACTTCAGAGGCAAGCAATGGCCTTGAAAACACTGCAGGGCAGGGTCACCGTACGTCGCACTTTCAACTACTACAAAACATACCGACTAGCCACAACAGCCAGCACAAATAAAAAAAGTGATTGTGTATCCATTTATTTTTTTAAAAGCTACTGAATGAGTACAGAAGTACTAAGTTCCATAGCCTAAACAGGAGAGCTAATATTTATTTTTTATATTAAAAAAAAATAAGAATGCAGTGTTACAGGCCACACGGCAACAGATCTGGACTGCAGTGGCGTCAACGTGCTGCAAGCCAAATAACAGAAATGCCCTTCAGCTTGCGGCCGGCTGACCCTATGCCTGAAAGTGCCATACAAGACAAGGAGGAAAGAAAGCAAGCTCTGTAAAAAGGACCCAAAGGAATAGTTAACGGGGAGAAGACTACAAAAGAATTTGCCACTCGATAATTACAGAGCCTTTGAATGAATAGGCGTCAATATGCCTTGTCAAGGACCTGCTGGGAAGCCCTGTCGACTGCAGCAAAAGAGCAGTGCGGTGAAAAGACAGAATACAAAAGAAGGGGTTTCATAAAGACTCTGACACAGTGAAAAGAGAGAGACAGGACTTACAAAAATCTGAAGCACAAGGAACAACAAGGCAGAGACCTGCATGTCATTCCCCATGAATGGAACACTATAAAAACAAAGCAGTTGGGAAATCCTCTGCAGGAAGAAGGAGCGGCAGAGTCTTCTATAGCCCTACTGTGTTAACCCCAAACCCAATGAAACTAAGGATATCCATGCAGTATTGCTTTTTTTCAGCTCCCTTGAAATAGTGGTGCAACTCATAACTGTTAATCTGGGGCTATTCCCTACAGTGAATTATTAAAATGAATTCCAGAGGAAGGCATGCTCTATGAGTACTTCTGCATTAAGGTGGAGGAGAAGAAGCAGAAGCAGAAGTTTATAAAATCAAATTGTAGTACTATGGCTTTATTCATTCCCAAATGTTGGTAGTCACAGAACTCAGGTTTGCCACAGTGCCATGAGCTGGTTAATGCTGGCACCAAAGTGAAACAAGGCTAAGGTAGTGGTGGTGAATGCTGCCACTGAAAAGCGCCATACGGAGGAGGGGGGCAGGACAGGGGGAGCAGCATTTCCCAAGGGTGGAGTTTTTGGGGGGATACAAAGAGGAAGAAGAGGAGGAGGAGGAGGAAAAAGAAGAGGAAGAGGAAGAAGAGGAGGAGGAGGAGTTTGTATTCACTACCCAAGGGAGTCTCAGAGTGGCTTACAAACTCCTTTCCCTTTCCCTCCCCACAAAAGACACACTGTGAGGCAGGTAGGGCTGAGAGAGCTCTGACAGAAACTGCTCTTTTTCAAGAACAGCTGTACCAGAACATGGCTTGCCCAAGGGCACACCAGCAGGTGCAAGTGGAGGAGTGGGGAATCAAACCTGATTCTCCCAGGTTAGAGTGCAAGCACTTAACCACTACACCAAACTGGCTCACAGAAGAAGAGGGAGGAGGAGGAGGAAGGAGGCGGAGGAAGGAGGCGGAGGAAGGAGGAGGAAAAAGGAAGATGTTGGATTTATAGCTCCCCCCAGGCTCCTTTAGATGGCCTATCTTCCCTGGGTGTTACTGTGTTTAGGATAGTTTCAAAGGTATCTGACGAAGGGAGCTTTGATTTTCGAAAGCTCATACCCTGAAAATCTTGTTGGTCTCTAAGGGGTGACTAGACTCAAAATCTAGCTGTTCTGCTTAAGATGGCTTTGTGAATCTCAGTGGCCGCCTCTTCCAGTTTCTTCGCTCTTACAAACTCATGGACATCTAACTGGCTTCCTGTTGCCCTTGAGCAAATATTCAGCGGCCTGGTTGGGAATATCAGTGCAAGCTCCTTTCAGTCTCGTGGCTCTGTGGCAACTCATTCTGGGCTACCTGCCTTCTGAATAACGCAAGTTAAAAATAAAGCATCTCATCGTACGATGGCATCTGGATTTAACCAAATTAATCCATTATCTGATTTGACGATACCAACCTGAAACCGACCACGCTGGAATGAGCCAGTCAGAGGTTTAGATTGACCAGCTGCTTCATTCTCCACTGTTGCTTGTTCGAGAGGAGAAAACCAGTCCGGAGTAGCTTCACTTGACATCTCCTCCGTTGTGAATTCTTTTTAAAGGAAGGGGGGGACACAAAAGAAATGAAACATGGTCAGTGACCATGAAAATACTAATAAGCAACACTGCATTAAAAAAAAAAGACCCTAGTATACATGTAGGCTTTTAATTTTATTTTTTTTTGGTATCTCAAGATCTATACTTCTATGTGGAATGAAAAACCGGTTAATCAAACATTGAAAAAAAAAATGTGTTAGTGAATGAAATGTTACACAGATGAGCAAGATGCAGGGAAAGGTATACATAGGGTAGTGCAGGAAATGCAAAAAGGAAAAAAGAAAAGAAAGGAAACATACGTAAGGAAATCAAAACAGATGTTACCTAGTCTAGGGTCCCTGACTGTAAGCACACTACCTTGCCGGACTTTTGCTCTCTTGAAAAAGCTGGTCTGCCGTAGCCTGTATGCCCAGCTTTTTAATTTGCGAGTCCAGGTTTTCTTGCTAATGGGGTTTTTGAGACTAGGGCAAGTAAAGCTTAGGCCAAAATATCCACCTCCTGCATGCAGGTGCACAGCTCCAACGCTTGATGCTGAAGCGGGACAGGCCACGGGGTTCTCAGGAAGTGAAGTATCCGGGGACATCTCCTGGAGAAAAAAGGGGGGGCGGGGGGGGAGAGAGGGCACAGAAAAGGTGACATTTGACTAAGGGAGCATTTACCACTCATATATAGTTTCGACCTTTGATATCCTAGAGGCTGCCTTGTTCCTTAACATTGCACATATACACCTCCAACCCTAACTAAAATGAAACATAGTTTGAGCCCAGTAGTAAGGGTAAAGCTTTCCCTTGCTCGAAAGCCAACTCTAGGGTTACGCTGTTCATCTCCGTTTCGAAGTCGAAGAGCCAGCGCTGTCCGAAGACGTTTCCGTGGTCATGTGGCCGGCATGACTAGATGCCGAGGCGCACGGAACGCTGTTAGCTTTCCCCCACAAAGCGGTACCTCTTTATCTACTTGCCATTTCTTGCTTTCGAACTGCTAGGTTGGCAGGAGCGGGGGCCAGAGACAGGAGCTCACTCTGTCATGCGGCACTTGCGTCTCGAACTGCTGAACTACCGACCTTGCAGCCTGCAGTTCAGTGTCTTAACCACTGAGTACCGCAGCTCCTTGAGTCCAGTGGCACACCTTTAATACCAACAAAGTCTAATTCTCGGTATAAGCTTTCGTGGGCATGCACGAAAGAAGAAGTGTGCATACACACGAAAGCTCATACCCAGATTTAAACTCTGTTGGTCTTAAAGGCGTGCCACTGGACTCAAACTTTGTTCGGTTGCTTCACACCAACACGGCGACCCACATGAACCTAACTAAAATGCCCATTCTTAGAAATAACAGCAATTCATCAAGTTGGAATATGAACATATAGAGAGATGACTGCTAATTCTTCCAAATAATTATGGAACACCTTTCCCTCGGATATTAAGCTTAGCCAAAACTAAACAGTCTTCTATAAGCTGTGGAAATCCACCTCCCCCTTTGTTTAATTAGGACGGAATTGGATAGATATACTTTTTTTATTCCACTTTACACTATTTCCCTTAGGATTTGGGAACTGGGGTCCAAGGGTGGAGCACAAGCTGAAAGGAAGTGGCAAAGCATCCTGGATCTCAGCCATTTTCCTCCTAGGTCCCTCTGCAAAGCCAGAGAAACGTATGCCTACTCCCAGAATCAAACGTATGCCTACTCCCAGAATCAAATTTCTTAACCCAGTCCTAACTACAATCCACAACAGGCATTGAAATAGTGACTTTTGCTTTCAGACGTCAATCCCACTATCTCCTATAGAATGGCACTCTATGCTCACGCTGCAAGGAAAATTAAGAGATAAGGCTACGAAATGACTGCACTTTCAGAATGTGCTATTTGAGAAACCTGATTTTAAAACTTATACTCATACTTCATCTATACATTTTAATTTTCTTTTAAATGTATTGCCAATCTTTGTACTGTTTTTTAATCTTTTGTATTGTGATGGCCGTTGGCTACATGCAATAAACTTTGAACTGGATTCTTTTAAATGTATTGCCAATCTTTGTACTGTTTTTTTTTAATCTTTTGTATTGTGTGATGGCCGTTGGCTACACGCCATAAACTTTGAACTGGAACTGGAGCCTACTCCGGCCCCAAAACAAACGCATACAAATGTATGCTGCAAAAGCTGGATTCTGTGCCCTGTACAAATATCAAGCTTGTGGTGTTTTCTTATTTTGATTTATTTTCCTGGTTTAAGTGAAGGCAAGGAACTACATAGGGTGCCAACGTCCCACCGCTGGTCACTGTAAATCTTACTCAGCCACCCTCCTGAGCTGCCCAGAGACTTACAAGCAGAGGTCATTTCGGGGGGGATCGCAGGGGATCGCAGTTCCCCCCGGGTGAGGTACGGGGGGGTGGGACACATGACGAAGCCCCGCCCCCTGCTTCCAGCCGCCCCGCTTCCGGCCCTCATTCAGCCAGGAGGAGGCAGGAGAAGAGGGAGGAGGAGAAGAGGGAGCCCCTCATGGGGCTCGGCAGTGGAGCTGCAAGGCCGGCTGCGGCGGCCGGGACCGTTGGGGGCGGGGTGTG